TAATGAAATACGAAAACAAAAAATCATCACGCACAAAATGCACCAGATTGCTTCACGATAATGGTCCTCTTCATATTCATCGCGATATTATTGACTATTTAACAGAAGATGGTACTGAAATAATGCTACATCCACCATACTCATCTTGCACCTGTGACTTTTGGCTCAATGATTACATCAAGATTAACTTGGCTGACTAAACGAAGAATCACTAGCTCGGGCGGTTTGCGAGATAGTAAACAATATTCCAGAAAAAGAGTTTAAAAAAACTTTTGACAAACTATTAGAAAGAATGGAACTTTGTATAAATAATAATAGTGACTATCTTGAACATTTAATAAAATAAAGCTAAACATAGATCTTTCTTTGTGTATTTTTATCTGATGATTTGAAAACCTTTGGTAAATCCTAAATATATTCGAATCCTGAACAAGGAATGTTCACATGTTTATTGCATTATAAGCTCTATTTAAAAGACTGTTAGAATTATAGACGAGACATTTTACTAAGTATTCATGCAATAAATCTTTCGATGTTAAGTATTTTATAACAATTTAAACATCGTTCTACGAACTTTTGGTTAGCCCTAAGTATTAGAAGGGATTTGATGTTCTATCTCTGCTATAAATGAGCTAAATCAGACGTGTGCTCCGCAATAAGGTTAAAAAAGAGGGGAGCTTTACAATTTTTAAAAGAACACGTGCTTTTAGAGAACTTCTTACCTGTTGTGAAGCAAACATAAAATGAATTATCGCAATAGTAAAGTACAGAAAGACAAAAATTTGAGTATGATGATTTGTGTCGGGACAGTACCGCGATATGTGGAAAGAAAAAAAGAAAGGACAAATGTTTTGTTGGTTGCATAAAACAGCTGTGCATTATTATGGAACAATTTACGCTGATAGTGAAGGCAAAAGGGTTTTCGCCACAGAAAATATCCATTATAAGTTTCTTATTAACGATTGCGATGGAATAAATATCTCTTTCATTATTTGTCGAGTATATGAGTGAAACATACAATCATTGTACCACTTGTTCGTGAGAAAGCGAAAGAACTTTACTGTGAAGTTTTTCTACTTATGTCAGCCGATTGTAGTGGTCGTTTTAGAGAGCTTCTTACCTGTTGTGAAGCAAACATAAAATGAATTATCGCAACAGTAAAGTACAGAAAGACAAAAATTTGAGTATGATGATTTGTATCGGGACAGTACCGCGATAAGTGGAAAGAAAAAGAGAAACGACAAATTTTTTATGCTTCTCGAACTTGCTGCCGCTATGCTACTCGAACTGTCGGTCACTTTTCTCTATGAAACTAAAGGTGATCTCTAATCATTCATGCATTATTCGATGCGTCTTGAAAGCTCTACAATATGTGTTAATAGAAAACTTAACGAAGCTTGACAGCGCCCGTTATGAATCAAATACTAGATTTTTTCGTAGGTCGCCGCTACAATTGAAAAGCTCTACAATATGTGTTAATAAGAAACTTAATGAAGTCTGGCGGCAGGTTTTATGAACCAAATACGAGATTTTTCGATGGATCAAGGCTATGCTACTTGAACTGTCGGTCACTTTTCTCTATGAAACTAAAGGTAATCTCTAATCATTCATACATCATTCGATGCGCCACGGCAAGCTCTACAATTACTGTTAATAAGAAACTTAACGAAGCCTGGCAGCCCTGTTTGGTATTAAATACTGCGCTGCTTTAACCTAGAATGGCTCCAAAACTTGCTCGCCACCCTTATTTTTGATTTTCCTCGTGGACCATACTAGCTAGAACAAATTTCTACCACAAAAAATTTCTAGAACAAAATCTACCGAGTAAAAACATCATATTCATCATCAAATTCGAGAGTATCATAAGTATACATCTCACTAAAGTAGCTATCTTTAAATGACTGCAAAACTGCGAATAATTGTTCTGCAACAAAAATTTCGTCGGTAGTTGTTACAGAATTTTCAGATCCATATTCAGTTTGAGCCAAATGGAAAATATGTTTAGCAATGTTCAATAAATTCATGTTTTAATTTGATGAAGTAAACGTTTTTACTCGGTAGATACAGCGAACAAGGAAAGAGAATCATTCTTTGATAGTATATTTTCATTGTGATTTCTTAACACCAACCGCAAAGAAATAATCAATAGGAACTATTCTCATATTACAATTTTTTATTGTTTTTAAAACTCTCCATCCTACACTTACATTGACATTATTATCATTTGTAAAAACCAACTTCCAACCGCAGTTCACATCCCATGTCGTCAAGATCGTCTAACGTTTGCCAGTTATCGGCGGTACGGATTCAAAATGATCATCAATTGTGATTTTTTATGTTGTAAATCTGAAAAAGTGTTGATTATCTATGCGATTGTATCGACAAGTTATCAGAATTAATCGACAATGTTTTCCACTTATAGCTGAAAAAAAAATGACGATTTATCACTATTTCGATACAGTATCATGATTAATCGGTAAAAGTCAAGGACTTTTGACGACATGAAACGATATCTCGTTTACAACACAAACACCTCCATTGTCACAATCAAGTTGAAAAAAATTCAGCTCAAATGGATTTTTCTTTATCAAGATTCTTGTTTTATCTGCTCGTGGCAAAGGATATATAGAGTGTTGAGACTTTGTAACACTTGACATAGACAATTTTCGAAAAAAAGTGAGAAATCAATTTCACTTCCAACAGTAAATGATAACAATCGAGCCTGGCAATAATTCCTATGCGTGATAAAAACTTGTGCCGTTTTGTAAATAATCTGTAAAAATCCGTTCAAAATGTTCCATATAAGGCAAGATATTAAGCTTTTTTTTTCGAAGAAATTAACACCAAATTAGTAGAAATTTACACTACGAGTTTTAATAGTTTGAGAAAAATCGAATGAATTTTACTACTAGTGCAAGAATCGAAGTCTACGAAACAGATCCTTTTAGAGTAGAAACCATGCTCTACTCAATAAAAAAAGAGAATCAATTTTGTATCACCTTCTATTCAAATACAACACAGTTTGACATTTGTCCAAGAACTTTTGCAACATCCGTCAAAAGAGTTACATATCCTAGTTGCAAAATATTGCATGATTGTTGACAAAAGTCACTCTGTTCAAATGACGAGAAAGTACCATAAATACAAGTTCGTATTTATAGATATTAATTATCAAAAGACAGGTTCTAAATACAAGAAATGTCACATTCAGAATGAGTGAAAAGTCTCCTTCAAAAAATCGGATCAATACTTAAAATGAATCTTCATTCAATTTTGACCTCAGGGGAAATACACGGTTCGAAGATCGACCGAGATTCGTTTTAAGTATTTACGAAATTTTTCGAAAGAGATTTCTTCGCTGATTTTGAATGTGATATTCATTGTATTTAGAACTTGTCTTTTGATACACAGATCTTGGCTAGTAGATGAAATTTTGTTCCAAGTCAATAATTCTCAACATTCATCTTTAGGGTCAAATAGAGGTTAGAAGCTGAAAAGGTGGTATTTTAGTTTGTTTCCTGTCTTAAAAATCTAGAATACGTCATATCGAGCTCACATTTCGACTACAGAATCTTGGTCCAAAACGAGGTTCATGGCTTCTTTCATTTTTCTTCAAAACACACCTTTTAGGTTAGGACATAATCCACGTACATAGGCAAAATCATCCTAAGTTATTTGAGCGCACCAATGAAAGCATAATGTTTGCTTCGTTTTTCGGTTGAAGGGAAAGCGAGCTAATTATCGATTATTATACTCGATTATCGATTATTTGAATACTCTATTATACGTGCAACCTATAATTTCTTTTTTTGTTATTTTCTCTTTTCTATCAATATTTCTCAGGAAAAGATAAACTAGAGTAGCCTGGGGTAATTATGATCAGGATAAAAAATTTTCTCAGTATTCTTGAAGCTCTGCAGTTATTTTTCACCGAAAAAAAGGGATATTTCACAGGTAGGTTGAGCTGAGTCTTACCTATCGATTGATGTAAAAATTATCTTAAAATTCATTAGCGTTAATTAGTACTAATCAATTTTCAGCGAGCAGGTATCGATTGATCATAATTACCCCAAATGGGGTAATTATGGGGTAATTATGATCAGTCAACGTATACCGATGGGGTAATTATGATCAGCACAGCCAAAATGGCTGGAATGAACTTAAAGAACTTTGTTTCAACGGATAATTTTAAGCAAATAAATTAAAAATTAGTTCATTTTGTAGAGAATTCTTTGCTCTATTTCTCATGTGAATAGCACATCAGTCGGACTTGACCTGGATTAATTAATGAGAAATTACGAAAATTAAAAGAGATAGTCATTTTTTCAATATATATGCTTTGGGGTAATTATGATCACTCTACTGTTTTTCATGGGATAATTATGATCAATCCGTGTAAATTACACGAAATAAACAGAATTTGACGTGCGTTGGTCTTTAGAAGCCGGCTTTTAGTCTAGTTCAAGTGAAGAATGTCTTCAGAATATTATAACTAATTACATATGTAAAAAGCGGAATAAAAACGCGTGTTTTTAGCAAGTACTGTGCATAAAATGAACATCGTCGATTATAAATGCATTTCTGTTCATTAAGATTAGCAGAATAATTAGGATAGAGCCTTAATTAGCAGTCGGATCACGAACAAGTTGAACTTTTCATGTACATTATCAAATTCTCGTTCTAATAGACCAAAAAGTTTTTTTAAAACACACCTACTTGAAATATAACACACAACATACCAAATGACACTAAATTTAGAGAATATGAAATGGGAAAATTTTGCACAGTCAAACAATCAAACATGTTTTTAGATGATTATTAAATAAATTATTCTTCAGGTTGCCTAATATTCTATTCGTACCAATTTTATTCACTTGGAGCTACTAAATTTTCCGATTTCATGTTCATGGAAAGTACGACCGTTGAGTTGGTATATAAGCAGCATACAAGTCTTTTAAAGTTATAATCCAAAATAAACCAGATCGTTTCACACAAATATCATGACTCAAATACAAAATACAGACATGTTAAAGCTTGAAATTGATATTGGGAATATTATTAAAACCAATCCACTACTACCTGATGAAGTTCTCCCCGATATTCCTACAGAAATCCGTTCGTCAATATCAGATGCCGATGATATTGATCAAACGGAACTGTTAAACAGTGTTCGAAGACAAGTATGTACAAGCAAACAAGACATCAACATAATAATGAAGCTAGATAGCATTCATGACTCGTGCTTTCCATCTATCACTCATTTATTCCTGTATGACATTAGATCGGTTTAGAAATAATTGAGTATAACACTGCTACAAAAAACATAATAGATTTTTAACAAAAATCAATTTATGGTTTATTCAAGCTTTCGATAAGTTGTCAATAACTTTTCCCATTATTCAGTTAAATATAAAAGTTCTTACTTTCTACATTCACTCGAAATATATAGTAGAGAAACTTTGTCCTGCGTTGAAAAATATAAATTATATAAATCTCATTTACATTTTTAACTTTATTTGTTCCATTATCGCAATTCATTCCATTGATGGTGAGTAACGTACTAGAGGAACAAAATTTTCCCATCAATTGGCAAATTTCTAATATCGCAGTCTGTCCATAGGCATGTTCATTTAAGGAGGGTTTCCTCCCCCAAACATGTCCTCAAACTTGGCCAGTTTGTAGAGAGCACCTTCGGTGGTACGCCTGTGCAATAAAAATCTCGTTGGTCAACTATTGACAGAGTTATTAATTAATTAAGTTCAAAATTAATTGAAATTTTTAGTTTGAGAGGTATCTTTTAAAACCTTTCTAGTTTTCGACATAAATGTTACATTCAACTGATTGAAATGTAATTTTATAGAGAACTGTTTTCAGATATAATTCCATACGAAAAAAGTTTAGAAATGATATCTCTGACCGTTTTCCAATCCCTAATTAGTTCTGGTTAGCAGTAATTAGTGGCACTCCAGTGGACAAAGTAAATTTTCCTAATGTCAGAACAAATGGGAGCTAATCATGCGATATATCATTTGATAGAACTTTTCGAGCTCTGTCGATTGTTCGAGCCACTTTTTTTAATGTTGCCTTTTTTATCTGAAAAATCCGTTTTAAATCGTTTTTGGTGTCAAACCACTGACTGATTCTCAATTTTCTCAACCATAACTCATGTACTATGTAATAAAAATATCATATTCGGAATCAGGATCGAAAACTGAGTCGACTGATGTGTATGTCTATCATATAAGAGCTATTTTATGTTTTTCGAATTTTTACGTTGAAAAATCATAGAGATTTTCATCAAAAAATAAAAATGAACTAAAAATTTCGAATTACACATCAGTCGACTCAGTTTTTGATCCTGATTCCGAATATGATATTTTTATTACATAGAACATGAGTTATGGTTGAGAAAGTTGAGAATCAGTCAGTGGTTTGACACCAAAAATGATTTAAAATTTTTCAGATAAAAAAGGCAAACATTAAAAAAAGTGGCTCGAACAATCGACAGAGCTCGAAAAGTTCTATCAAATGATATATCGCATGATTTGCTCCCATTTGTTCTGACATTAGGAAAATTTACTTTGTCCACTGGAGTGCCACTAATTACTGCTAACCAGAACTAATTAGGAATTGGAAAACGGTCAGAGATATCATTTCTAAACTTTAATGTCATGTCTATTCATCCAACTCTCGCAACAGGATTCTACTGTTAAAGAAACGACTGATTCGTGTTTGCTAAAATATAGTAGTAAATTGTATTTGTTTTTCAAGGCTTACTGGCATTTACGAGAAAGAAAACTTCCCGAAACTTCAATAAAATTAGTCGCTAAACTTCTCGAAGCATATCGATAATTATTGAGGATGGTTTTTCTCTAACTCTATGGTCATAGCAAGTAATTTATCGTCCGATATTTTGGGCATCATTTGAACGTTTGTACCAGCACCAGTAACCATCATAGCTGCACTAATGAATTTTGATCAAACGATTTTGGAACAATACTCGGAGCTTGTTTTTCGTATGAATGAGAGTCAAGCATAACCTTTTCTGCTTCACCTCCAAGTTCATCAGATGCAGCTCTTTTTACTACACGTTCTCCTGTTGTTGAATTTATCTGATATTTCGTTAGTAGGCATATTAGTTAATCATATAGTCCGTTCTTATCTCATTATCAGCTGTAATTGTTGATAGTTCTGAGAAAATATTCATGTTTGATGTTGAATCTATCGTGAGAAAGAGATAAGATAATATAGTTTTAGAAAATTGATCTAGTACAATATATACTTGATGATTGAGACATTTTAAGAATAAGTTGAGTGGTAAACGTGCGTGTATGTATTATACAAATCTACAATAGACACATAGCGTTATTTAATTCTAATAGTAGCTTAGATTGTAAGAATATTTTTATTTTGTTATATACAGATATTCGTATGATTATTGTCATTTATACTATTAATGAGAATTATATTGGAAAATCAAAATCAAAAAATTGAACGATATTATTAAATCTGATTTACTGTCACATAGATATTGATCAATTTTACAATACAAACACAATCATGATTTGAATATGTAAGAAAGATTATTTGAAAATGGTTCGATCTTTTCTCATTGTATTTCTATGACTAAATGATGGTATTTTTATAACCATCATCAATAAAAGAAACACGATGAAACACAGAAAACTTAATGGATATTAAAAACATATGTTTTGTAAGTTTTATTTATATTGCAACAGTTGCCGACAAACCATAGACATGAATTTCTCTTTTAATCGAAAAGTGTCAATATTTTGTACAAATACTCGATGAAATTCTTTTGTAGCAATTTCAATTTCACCATCATCATTAATATACTGTTGATGTTCAACACGATACAGCAGCGTGTCTTCCTATGCATCATTGATTCAAAATCACCATCGAAATTAAGAGGGACCAAAAGATCGAAACCCCTGTTACAATATTTTGCTATACGTGTGCATAGGTGCTTTCATCATGGAGAGTATTAACAATAAACGATCTTGTTGCAAGAGCTTGTAAGAATGGAAATGTTGAAACAATTTTATCTCCTAAACAGCTCATATATAAAGACTATAACCAAAACTTGTTTAAAAGAAAGAGAAAATTACCGGTAAATGCTACTTGACAAATATCCATATCAAAATTATGGAGAATATGCGAAAGTGATTGTTTTGAATTTCCTGTAGATGTCAAGAAGTTAAGTTGAACATCATAGGGAAAAAACACATTGTAAGAAGACGTTCCTAGAACCTTTTCCATTTTTATCGCGTTCGTTAAATCAGGAGAAATTCTTTTGTTTAGAATATTGACAGTACTTTCTACTATTGTATGAAAATCTTATGTATTATTTGCATAATAGATCAAATTAACATCTTGCTCTTCGGTACCTGAAAATGGTGATCGACAGAGGGCATTAAGAACACATTCTCCAGCAATGATCAACATAGAAAAATCAATTGCTTCCAGCCATAAAGCTGATGAAAAGCGAGTCGCCAAATTTTGTTTAAACTCATCCATAGGGCACACAAACATCAAATTCATGCGATGATTTCGATTTTCTGTCGTAGGTAAATTCCTGTTAACTAGAATTAATTGCATATATATTTTAGATGTTACATTTTTCATTCCAGATATTTTACCTTTAAACAATTTTTTCTCATAACCATTTAATAGCCGTTCCAGGCCAACTGTCTGACCGTACCACTCGTAATCAAGCAGTCCAAAATCTGCATAATAGCCGACAGTGTTCAACGGTAAAATCCGACAATAGTATTTAAAAAGAGGAGTTCTATGCACTTCACACAACTTCGAAAACCCTTCAAGACTAAAGCATGGATGAATATATAAACGTTCAGACGGCTGAATAACAGAAGAATAACGTGGTGAGACTACAACAAGCCGTTCATCATCAGTTTCACTTACGCCCATGAAACATTCGAATAAAGCACATGGCAGCAAAATTCTCTGATAATCATACAATACGCTGATCAATCTAATAAAATGATGATCGAATATTTTTGCAATTGACCCAAATTGTTCGCTGCTATCTATTGCTTCAATAAAATTGATCGTGTCTATCCCATCAAGAAATTTTAATAGATAACATCCAACAACTTCATTCAGTTCAACGACTGTGTTTTTCGACATAATCAATCAATACCTAATCGATATTAAAAGCTTGAATAAATGATATATCTGAAAATATTTCAAAATAAATGATTGTTATCAAATTAATCGATAATGATGCATTTCTCTGATCAATCGCATTTCTGTGATTATCGTGCTGCGTTCTGTTTATCTTCCGCTTTCATGTATTGCATTCCATTCTTTTTTTCATTTTATTCCTTCTTTCGTGTTGGTCATCTTTTCTTCTCTTTTCATTCATATAGAGAATGAATCTCAGCCGAGCACGTTAGCCTATCAAAGAACTGAACATAGCTCATAATATGTAGACATTTTTTAATGGCTATAGAGAACAAATTATGTTTGAAAAAAAATTCAAAAAATCGGTTTGAAAAACAGAGCATTACCAATTTTAGAAAAAACTATAAGTTTTTAATGGCAAACTTTTATTACGAAACCATAACTTTCCACTTTTGTACTCGTTGTGTCAGATAGATTTGAAGTCTCCCATTTAGAGTTGGTGTTAGGACTATTAGGCCGATAGCTAACGCCTAACTACAATTCTTCCTAGATTTACACACTTGTTTAACTTCAAAGGTTTGATGTTGTTTTTTAAGTGTTTTATTCGTGTAAAGTAAAGGTATCACAATGATGTATAAAACGAAAGGAGATAACAGACGAAAGAATAAAATAAACATGTTACTCGATGATGTTACTTCGGGTGAATAGGCATGCACCAATACCAATCAATATAGAAGATATTGTACAATATTATGGGCTATCCAATAATATTGTGTCCCAATATTATTGTATACCCAATCTGTTGGGACCAATAAGATTGGTCACTCAATAGTACTGTACAATAATACTGGGTAATATTGGGTTCGCAATACACTGGATTCCAACTTTTTAACCTTAATAGCATTTACCTTCATAAAAACGTGATGAAGCATATCCCGATTGATAAATGAAGCGTTCGGCAACTCTGAGAGCTTTTTATAACTGATTTGAAACGACTTTGCTGAATGCCCTGATATTAATTATTAATCGGTACATGCCCAATTGGGTTATTTTTTGATTCAAAACGAGATATAAAGCATGATTCCGTACTGGAAAAGTAGGCCGACCTCAAGTGACCCATACCCAATAATATTGCGAAAACCCAATATATTGGACGACCGATAATTATTGGTCCCAACAGATTGGGTGACCAATATTATTGGGACCCAATATACTGTATTGGTGCATGCCTACGAGTGAATAGCATGTATAACTAAACTAACAACTGCATATTTATACAAGAAATACACAAAGAGAACGACTGTGATAAATCCATCGTCCGTCTGTACATAGTAAAATAATAACAGTATAAAGAGAGAGAGAGAAAAATAACTATTGTTTGGTCACTAAACAGACTGACGTATATTGAAAGCAATAGTTACATAACTAAAGAAGAAGAATGAGAAGGAAAAGCCTGGAAGAAGATGGTGATGATGATTCACTTCCTAGCAGTTGGTAATACCACAAGTTATGGAATACTCTGCTTTGCAGAGCAACTAATTCAAATCGTGTAGTTTTTTCTTAAGATACATTCTCACACACAACAATATTTAATACGAAAAAATTTTAATACTATATAAAATATTCTTTTAAATACTGTACAATTTCAGGAATATCGTTGAAACGTTTTTTATGAAAAACACTGAAATTTTGGTCTTGATCTTCGGAAACAGATGATTCATTGTTTTGTACACCTTCAGATTCTGAATCTGATATGGGCGAATACATACTTGTATAAAGATTTGGATCTTTATGCAGGATGTATTCGTCCATATCAAAATCAAAATCAAATTATTCTTGTTTAATATCCATCTCTTCTTCTTTAATATCATTTGTTTGTGATAGATTGTATTGTCCACAATGAACACATGGAAAATTTAGCCCATTATTTTGCTCATGAACAACAGGAAATTGAAGAATTATTGTCGACATGGGTAATATAATGGATATTGTCCATTCATCTATAATTAAAGGTATATCTTAATGAATAAAAAAATATTCTGATGCTAATACTTGATGAGCATTGTCGATTAAATGGCATATTATTATTAATATAAAAATCATAAACTTTTTTCAAATTCGACACCATTTCATTATTCATTATAATGTGAGTTTGATTATTGTCGTTTTTACCATTATCATTATCTAATTTTGGTAATTTTAACAGTTGTATACCTTGGCCTGGGGCTATCGTATCTGCAAGTTTTTCTAAGAAGACAACACACTGAGTTACTCTGGTGTATTGGTCAGTAAACTACTATGATAGAAAAAACCGCAAATGTTTCTCATCTTCCGTTATTGACTTATTCAAAAGACACGGACCGATATTCTTTGTTGAGAAGGATAGTAGTTTACCTCCAAAATTACGGACACCTTGACGTAACTTGGCCACCATTCTTTGAATGCTACCGGCTGATTGTGCTTCAAGTTGCATTTTAGCTTGTGATTTTACTGGACTAATTCCACTCTCGTTAAGTATCCGATTCATTTGGGAACGTCCGCCATCCGGTACATAATTGCTCCGGATACTGCCGACTGAAAACGCTGATGCTTCAGTTAATATATCATCCGGAGCACGTTTAGAACTTTTCCGATGGGTTGAACATATACTACAAGAGAAAATAAGTAAAGCTTATTTTTTTTTCTGAAAGGTCTGTTTTCTCCACCTTCCGCCAACAGGAAACCCTTCGATGTTGCAACATAAAGCCAAATTGGCTCTCCGACAGTTACTTTTCTCGGCAAATTTCTTCGGATCATGACGTGGATGATGACAAGTAGTTTGATCATTCCATCCAACACCATATGTGTTCCGATGCTTCGGGCAGATTTCCATCGAATTGTCGATCAGTAAATTATATTTTGATAAACGATTTAATATTAAATTTTTTTCGTTCATTATTACATCATCATCTTCCGGTTTCTTCACAACGCCAGTCCAACTCATATAACCCGTAACGTCGTTTTTTTCCAGTTCTTCAACGCTAATGCAGTCTTTATTCCATCCATGTCTTACTGTAAAAGATCATTGTCTGTCAAGAAACTGCTTCGGTAAAAAGTTGCATCGCTTACTCTTTTCTCCAGGACCGCATGCTTCTGTTGTAGACTCCCACAAACAGCATCTCTTGTAATGGATCGTGGGAGGTAAACTTACTTGAGATGAACTTGAAGGTAATTTATCTTCTGTCGTAGGATTTATCTCATTACCGCTAGCACGATCATGTTCTCCAAAGATAACAAAAAGTTTCAGAACTGAAAAAAAGTAAACTTTATAATACCTAATATTTTTGGATTACTTGAATCATCTTCATCCTCCGAACTGAAATACCTGTGTGGAGGAGTAAACAAAAATATAAATCTGGTGTATGACAGGTATCCATCGTTTCTTGTTCAAAAACGTTTTGGGGATATCGTGATAAATCAAATGGTTGAACGTATTCCCTCGACGTGTCTCCTGTCGTCGGATACTGTTGTGTACACATATAAACGTCGGCATGCCTGACAAGTGTTATGTTGGTAGTCCTACTCGAACTTTCATGTGGAGTGTCTATTGACATGCGACTTTCTGAATCAAGTTCTCGATCTTGATCATTCATAAACTTCAAAAATTCAGCCATATCGTCCACTGCGGTGCTACTTGCTGCAGAAGATCCATAGCGGTCCAAAAGGTATACCGGAACGGCTTTTCTCTCCATAATTCAATATCTTTTATATAAACTTATCATAGTATGTGCTCTTTCACAGTTACAATAAATTAAAACAAGTATCTGTTTCATCATATACATCAGAACACACACTTCAAAAGAAAACAAGCACGTACAGAAAATAGAACTGATAAAGTTGTCACTCAGAACCTTGATAACAAAAATACCCGTTTTAAAAAATATTTATGAATAGCAGTTATACTACCGCCGATATCAAAATACAATAGTACCACGACAATTTTCTATGCAAATCAAATTGACAATAAAGTACCATGTTACCATGTTATGTGTTAGCTTTCAATTACTCATGAAAAGTACGCATACAATCTAACTATTGTTAGGCTCATCTTTTAAACTATTGAGAAAGTGACAAAAATTGCTTATTAATCAATTTTATACTGCTTCTGCATAGTGTTAGTAGTAATTATTATTCGAGCTACCTTATTAAAAATCCATCAAAGATAACCTATGAGTGATTCCCCAGGCGGAACTCGTACATAGGATCATATTAATAGCAGAATTAACTTGTTGCTGTATTACCATTGAATTCCTTGTGAAAAGTTGCATATCACACTGGTTTTTATGAATCTTTAATATATTATAGCACAAAACAACACTGACTGAAGCAAGCTTGAAAAGCTCGGTGCCCCCGACCGAGCCCCCGAAGCCATTTTAGCGAAATCCACAAATCGCCGTATGGACTATGATAGTACACCTGATGTACTCTAAGAGTATACTAGGGGGCTTCAGAATGGCCCCGTTTCCATGGAGAAAATCATTCCTCAAAATCGCCCAAAATGGTCATTTTTGGGCAAAATTGCAACTTTCAAATCGTCTGTATTGAAAACGAAAGCTTCTGAGACCGCCAAATTTTTACCAAATATGCTTTGACATATGATCTACTTGAAAATATGGTTGAAAGTCTCACGGTCGACTTCGTACAGACTTGGTACAGAAAAATTCAAGGTTTTCTGGATTTGGGCTCTTAGTGCGCCATCTATTACAAAATAACGAAAGCATATTTTAAGCTCGCGGTTGCGTGGATTTGTAGTAGACATTATCTGCTACTTATGGTAAAATCGCCAAGGTTAAGTAATCTGTTGTTAATGAGTTAGAAGAGTTTAAAGTTGGCAAATTTTCAAGATGGCGAAATTCACGTTTTTCGGGGTGTTTCGTAAAATTTCAATATCTCAGCAATGATACAACTTCTTGATTTTAGCTTTTCACCAAAATTCATTAAAATGTTTGGTCTAAAAGAGCCCCCTAGTTTGAAAAAGTTTTGAGAACATCGATTGAAGAACGTCGGTCGTGGCTTACGTGCAATGGCTCTTATGGAAAGTTTTACATGACATTTGATAAAATGTTTATGATAACTTTATAAAATACTTCATGTATTTATTCTGAAAAGAGATAAAACATACAAAGTAAACTATACAGAACAGCGAACAAGTTTAATAAATAACAATAGGAGAGGCAAAAAAATTTGACATACTCTATCATTTGACGAATGATGACACTGTCAAATTGATTCAATAAATATATTGATTCATATATTCATTTATATTCTTATTTTTAGGTAATATATTATATTATTCTAGATTATGTCAAGATAATATTCATTCATCCATTCAGGTGAGAATGAATCACTAGATAACATTTCGGTGTTATATAATTTTTTATCAACGTGATCTGTTCTATAATGTACTGTTAAATTCGATGAGACAAGTAAAATTTTTTGCAACAGCGGGAGCCAAAACATGTTCGCACGAATGTTCGAACGAAAAAATTATATGAAGGAGAAGAGAAAGCACTTATTTCTTTAATTAGATATTAATTAAAGAAAATGACTTATATCCGTTCACATTACAGACCACGTGTCTAAAGCGAAAAGAGAATTTTTGTTTCTGATGTGAATGCTCTCGTGTAAACATGCTGCGAATTGAGAGACTTTTAGTACCCGGTACTTTTCTGTTACCCCGATTACAGAATTAAAGAATATGTCTGGGACAAAATATACAGAGAATTGTCAGGGCTACAACATATTTGAGGGACAGGTCGCCGGCCGAAGGAAGACATGAACGTTCAGAAATATTCTCGGAGCCCTGGAGATCTTAGAAGAGTTTCGAGAAAACCTTTTAGATTTATATGAAATTGCAAAGCTTCAACATTAAATCAGAGAAATATTCATACCATATTGTAGATAGATCCCTAGCGAACATCGAGCGACGGTAGGTGCAAGAGTTCTTTTCGACTCAGAGTCCCGAAAGGTCGTTCGCAGATATAAGTTCCTAAAGTCAAGGGACCGAGAGCGTTACCTTGTTTCTCTACGTACAGCAATACATGCGTCATATATGAACGATCGGAACGAACGAAAGATGCCCGGTCAGTCACCTATATGTTTTGAAAATTCGTTTTAACGCGGTTTGAGCATTTATAGTGTGCGAGAATATACTGTTTCACCATGAATACGGCGAATTTCTTGAGCTTTAAATATACGCCTTAATCAAAACCACCAGTAGTTCGCGAGGAACGCGTTTATGAGCAGCATAACTTTTAAAAAACGCGTTTTCAGTCGTAATAGACTTCAAGACGCGCGAACGGCACCGAATTTTTCGCGTTTAGGACTCAACTGAAACGAATATAACGCGTTTTGGCTAGAAATGAAATTTGAAAAACGCGTTTCACTTTTCAAAATTTATAAGATATTTTCTTGGACACGTAAAACTCGTTTTGCAGACTGAAGTCGCGAAATTAAGCAGTTCTATAACAAATAATGATTGAAAAACGCGTTTTTAACGCAATGCAACAGGGATCCCAGATCCAAAACACGAAAATCAGAAAATAAAAGTCCAAAATCAGAAAAACCTGGGAAAAGAAATAGAAAATTAGTAAACCTTAGGGCAAAAAAACGCAGAAACGAGGCACAAAAAGTTCCAAAAACCAGAATTTCTGTGCCAAAATCAGAAAATCTGGGATCGCTGCTGACTTAGTACTTATTTGGGGACAGAAACATTTTCAAGAATTTCTGAACTGCCACTGGATTCCTCGCAAAAAGTTGCTTCGGGAAACTTAGCCTTTAACTATATCAGATGTACTACGGGGACTTTGAGACTTGGCCAAACGAATTTCTCGTGGTAAGTTTTTCGTAAACAGAGTTTCGTGCGATATGTTGAAGCTAAAACCGCGTTAAAACTAATTTTCAAAACATATAGGTGACTGACTGGGTGGGAAAGAAATGAAAGCACTATTTCAATCTGCTCCATTGATAATTTAAACGTTAATCTTTCAAATATTTATTTTTGGTATTTGTTATACTCTTGTGCGCCTCCATTCGCACAGTCCAAGCTGCAACCGATGAGATATGAGAACATCAATGGATCTCCGTAGTTGAGTGTAGAGGAATTATTAAGTGGTCATTGTAGATTAAAAATATTGAATGCTGTACGTATTCGCTCACATGTCGGGTTTAAGATTTATCTGAAGTAATGAAAACGTTTTTCCACATATTCATAATTAATTCACCCTCTGAAATGTAAGCTTAGAATCCAGTGCTGCATTAATTCATACCTCAAACAAGAAGGTATGAATGTTGAATGAATTTGTTCGAGTGCACTCTAAAAGAATGTATTTCCAAATACCCCAAATGCCTTTTGTTTTCCATGAAAAACCGAAAAAGATATAGTAAAAATAGAAAAATCAAAAAGTATTTTGTAGTAGAGACAAGAGCAGAATTTTTCTGTAGGCTATTTTGGGTATTGTATAATACGCTTAGGGCGTTTGAATTAATTGAAATACTATAACAACGTTATTGAAAAATCTATTGGTAATTCTTTACCTTTTGCAAAAGTCAAAGAACGTAGTGCAACACTAAAGAGGATTGAATAAAGGAACCGAATTTTGAAAATACCATTCCAGCACATTTTTAACTGAACTTATTTTCTGAGCTACTTCGTCAAGGTTAACCTGTGTAGCTGCACGGTATGGAAGAAGAGTCAAAGGTATTTGGCTGAGTATGTACCTACATAATCGATCCTCAAACAACACATCAATATAAATCCACAAACAACAAGATATTCTGAAGGTTCCTCCATGCCTTTTATGTATATGATCAAAAAAAGTCTGATGAGATAGTCTTCTTGCACATCTATACGGACTTTAGGCTTACACTTAGAGATCAGGAGTGCGTATTGACACTTTATTAACGAGGGAAATGAAATGCTCGAGATAACTTATTCTCTTCAGTTATAAGAGAATTCTCATAAATTGTAAATGAATATCTGTGAGTTCAGGGTTTACCTTCATCAATGAATTAATTAGACGTCATTTAAGATGTTTTGCAATTTTTTACCTTAATAATTTTAGTTAATTTGCTTATACTGGTAAGAAATGTGCGTTTAATACCCGTTTGTTGATTTTCGTCTTCACTAGTGTCACTCTTCATGCTCTGAAGCACCGACTTTGTATCGACCATTTGAGCTTGCGTGATCCGTGTATTCTCATCCAGGAAGCTATTTGTTGAAAGTTCAGTAAGAAAGATATGGGAGAAAAATAAACTGGGTACCCCAATATGAGAAAAGTTTTTTAAGTTGAAAATGTATGGTATTCATTGTTATGCAGATTTTAATGCAGGTGTGATAAGAAAAGTTGTGAATGAATCACTGCTTGTCATAGAAAGAACTAAAATAGGCTTTATAGAGGGAAAAAAATGTATACACATAAAATTTAATATCAGTAGCATGTTTTACATTCTTTTATTATTGACGTTTTGTATTACAGGTTTTCTTCAGTATGACCATTTTGCACTAAGAACACAAAACAAAAACTGGTATGTATTATTACATTAATATATTCGAGTTCCTTTGACTGCATTTAGTATCAAGAAAGCTTATTTAACACAACATGTATAATAGTGACCTCTGTCTTTTCGAAGAAACCACAGTAAAACCTATTCTTCCACCTCCAACGACTCTAGTTTTCAAAAACCCTGAACTTTTTTCATTCGTTTTTGAAGTTTCGATGGTATTATAGGATATAGCACTGCAGAGATGGAACCGTTTCAAAAAATTCAGTCGGTACGACCGTTAACGGCCGATTAAAAAGATTTTTTAAATCAGTAAAAACCGGTCAAAAAATGTTTGATTATTTTCTAAAAAATATTTGTTTTTCACTGGTCAATGCCACTAAAACAAGCTGTGTGTCCTTGTAACCGCTTTTTGGTTTCTTTCAAGAGATGAAGATATAGGCACTCGTCGACAAAAGAATAAATGAGACAGTGACGTGTGCGTTAGGATTGGTTGACGTTCATTAAAAGAACTTTTATTAAAGCGTTTTTTTTTTTATGAAAGTACCGAGACTTTCATTATATTTCATTTTCAAGGACCAGGGAATACCTTTCAGCCATTTATAGATAAGAAGCATTTTTTTTTGTTTCCTGATCCGATTTCAACTCTGTTGCGCAGATATAAGAGATATTTCGAGGCAATTTGGATCGATCTTGACAGAGTTATGAATTTTTTAAATTGATCTAAGAATAGATCAGTTTCTGAAGGCTAAACGCTTCTGTCTTTTTTGAGTCATTTTATGAAATTTTCGAAAGAGAGTTTAATAAAGGACGCACTCTTTCGCACGGAAAAATGTTTATGACAAAAAGAAGAAAATAAGTCACTTTTTCATACATAAGTTCTGTTCAGATCTTTTATACGAATCTATAAAGATTCTTCTGAATTTTAATTAAAAAAATATATACGGTTGACTTTGTTGTCTCAAAAATACACAGTACTTGATAGTCATATGTATGTATTATGTGGCGTGATCAAAGAAAAACGTAGAAAAAAGAGAAACAAAAAAAATGCTTCTTATCTATAAATGGCTGAAAGGTATTCCCTGGTCCTTGAAAATGAAATAAAACAGAACAGTCTTACATTTTATAGTCAAGATATCATATCGACTACTAAAGTTAATAATAGGACCATTACTAATTATACCTCAATAAAAGAAGATATATAGTGAGAAAGTACGTTTACAAAACTATGTGGAAATAGATATCTTACTCACTTAACCTTATTGGTGTCATCCTGATTGACAATCCAACAATTCCAACATAGAAAAAAGTCCAGTTTAAACTTTCTCTTGTTTGACTACAAGTTCGTAAACGTCTAAACTCTTTTCGTATACATTTTGAAGTGTCCTCTACAATATGGCAAAGTTTGAAATAAATCTTATATGATATGTTCAATATTTTATGAAAAAAGGATTAGTCAGGCGGCAAAAATGTCTGAGATTCTTCACCTTTCAAGTTTTTCATCATACACACATTATATGGATGATATTCCGAGCTTCTGACAGCGACCCATGTATTTATTTATCTTTTTTAACTACGAAAGGTAATAACAAAAAGAGAACAGAAATTCAAACAAGTGTTACACTTCAAGGAGAGAGTGAAAATACATAACATAAACTAATGAATGCCGCTTGATAAATAATATTACAAAAAAGTAACATGTTTGCAAATATGTTGTTGATTGCTCAGTTCGAGAATACTATTAAATTTATCGTATAACAATATGAAATTGCCATTATTAATAGTTATCTTTTCTTAGATTTTAGTAGTAGATAATCAGATTTTTTAATCCGATCAAGATATATAAAAGAAAATCGCGTATCCTGACGGAACTATATTTATAATAGCTCTAGTTGAATAGTAAAAGTGATTGTCAAAAAAACTTGACATCAGTGAAAGAGATGGCAATGCTACTAGAAAGACGGTATGAACTTCAGTTCGGAGCTGTAACCGGACCGACCCGATCAGTATCGGGCAGGATCGGGCCGCTTGAAAAAGTCAGCCAGGCCGGCAGAGACCGATATTTCACCGGTTGAAACTTTTGAAATATCTGCTCTTTTTATCCTATTTTTCGTCAAAAAACTAAAATTTCACGTCTTTTTCAGTCCGAATAAATAAGACGATGCTCAAGACATATTATTTTCATCACTTATTTTAAAGTTAAATGTTATAGACTCATTATTCTGAAGGTTCTCTCACATGTGCTCGCAAACTATTTCATTTTTGGGCGAAATTCGTTCTGAAAATCGATTTTCAAAAAACTTCGTCAGTTTTCGCCGGAATTTTACCGGTTTTTCACCGGTTTGAGTTGTGATTCCAACCGCCCAATTTACCGGTTTACCGTTTCTCAACCTGTTCCAGCTCGGCCACAGTTCTCTGGAGACTATGTTTGTTTTCTGCTGTTTTCCAAAGGAAAGTAAACTTACTTATCTTCAAGTCTAGACCGATCAAACCGTTTCTTCAATATTACTCATCGTCAAATCGATGGTTTAAAAGTTCATTACAGTATATGTTAGATTTATTCTTAAATAATTTAATGGTACAATATTTAACTAAAATTACTTGCGACACATGTGAATTTCATGAATGAAAGAATTTAGGATTGAAACTTTATTCCAACGACTTGTCCAGCTAACGGTCCCCTTTTTTCGCTCTTTTTCATAAAATTATTGCAATCAAGCTACAAACTAATCTAAAATTGCCACTAGATAAATAAGTAGATTAACCATTTCTCTATAAAATGAAAAGTGGCTGGCCTCTGAACGTTGATTTGTTATGAAAATACATCTGTTGTACAAACAGCCCAAAAGATCGATTTGGGGGCTATCTGAAAAACGTGTCTAACTAAGAAAGAGTGAATACGAGCTGGCCATAACTGAACATGTATGCCAGTTTGTAGAAAATTGTTTGTTCTACAAGACGTGACAGCTTTTGACCAAAAAACGGTGAAAAGTGTCGCAGCGTTACCATTTTCCTAGTTTTTCTTTGCTTAATATAGGTTAATTAGAATAGTTTCGAATTTGAAAAGCTATTACATCTTGCAGAGCAAACAATTTTCTACAAACTGGCATACATGTTCAGTTATGGCCAGCTCGTATTCACTCTTTTTTAGTTAGACACGTTTTTCAGATAGCCCCCAAATCGATCTTTTGGGCTGTTTGTACAACAGATGTATTTTCATAACAAATCAACGTTCAGAGGCCAGTCACTTTTCATTTTATAGACAAATGGTTAATCTATTTAACCCTCTACCCCCGCTTGGGTCATTTTCGACCCATTCGTAGAAATGATGTAGTAGAGTGACAAAGCATCGGATCAAGAAGCTGTATGAACGTTGTTTAGAGAATTCAATAAGCTATAGATTCGTAGAAAATAACTTTGTTTTTCATCACTGCTTGGCTAAGATATTTGAGTCTGAAAATGATGAATTTTCCAAAAAAGTGAGAAGATATGATTTTTTTATAAAAGGTTTTTGCACTTGCACAGATTAATTATTTTTGTAATCGAGTGGTTGATATATAAAGCTATGGGCATCGTCTACGTGCAGGAAAGCGTTTAAAGATTTCTTGATTAGAGATGTGGGAGCAGCATCCTTCAGGATAACATGGGTCAACATGGGTCATCACCCATTCGGGATGAGCGGCATGAAAAATAGTTTTTTTCTGCAACTATCTTGTTTATTGATATAAGCTGCATTATCGTTCTTTTCGTTAGACCCAGATTTTAGAATACGAACAGTTTATATTAGAAGAGCTTACCGGCCCAATAGTGTCAAAAACCTATTTTCCATTCATTTGCGAGATTTCTAGACCGTCGGTATGCACCATTTTCAGTTTTTAACTAAAGAACTATAACGGTAATGTTTATGGATTTTTTAGCAACATCAAAAGTATAATCTCTATCTAGTGGTCATTTGTCAAGTTCTAAGCTTATCCAGAATTCTGAATATAAATTTAAGTTATAACACTTCCTCAAAACACAATTTTCGATATTTTCAAGTGTAAAGACCTCGGGTGCTTGTTATAAATTAAGCCTATCCTGAATCATGTTTCAAAACAATGCATGATAGGAAGAACTTTCTAGCTTTATATAGACGAAGTAAACACACACTTGGATCTTCTGTCATGGCTAATATTGCAGTTCCTGGTTGACCACCACAAGCAATATTGAGTTTTGGATTCTTTAATNAGCGAAGTAAACACACAATTGCCGAAAACTACAACAAAAACCAAATAAGCAAAACATTAAATTTTCATGTCATTCAACCCAATGGGTCGTAAATGACCCATTCTGCGCCTCTGCAGTGAAAGAACTTCACTCAGACTTAACCATACCATAGTCGTATTGAGCACCCACATAAGCTATTCCTGTGGTCAACTCAACACCAGATCTGCCGGATTAGCACCAGGGGGTAAAGGGTTAATTATCTAGTGGCAATTTCAGATTAGTTTGTAGCAATTTTATGAAAAGGGCGAAAAAAGGGGGCCGTTAGCTGGACAAGCCGCCAAGTGAGCTTGTTATCCTGCGATACCATCTTTACAGACAAGAAAATCAATGAAAAACTCAAAGATAATTAAAAATATTAGTTAGAAAATATGAAAACAAGTGGTGATAACGATATGAAATCATGTGTTGATAATATGACTGACTAATAATACGACGACGAATCACGATTTAATAATTCAGCTTCAATTGAATCATTAATTGAAGAATTAGAGGAATATCATGATATTATTCAAATATGGGATGAATTAAATACTTTTACCAGTACTATGGGACTGTATAGAGCAGAAAAAGCGACTTATGACAGAAGCTTTTTTAATATGTTTTTCAATGGTGAAAAAGAAAAACGTCGTCAAACGTGTAGAAAGAGTCGTGTATTAAAGAATCCAAAACTCAATATTGCTTGTGGTGGTCAACCAGGAACTGCAATATTAGCCATGACAGAAGATCCAAGTGTACCTGTTACTCAAGATGGTTTGTTTTCTCGGTGAGAAAGTCGTAAGAAAATGTATTAGGAAGAAAAAAATTTTGTTTTATTCCATTTTAGTTTTCTGGTTGCTGCACCAGAAGCACGTGCTCCAAGATCGAGTGACTTTAAAAAGTTGAACCAAAATATTCCTGGATTAAAACACTTATTATTTACAGTGCATATGTTACATGTTGATGACGTGAGTGTAGACTCAACCGTAAAAGAAAAGTGGACTATATGTTTCTTACATCCTTTAGGCAAGGAATTATTATTATTCAGATGACGCAAAAAATGTCGTAAAGTCAAAATTTGATATCTACACCGACATTATTAATGGTGTGTCTCGTCATGATACATTTCTTGCTAGTCTTTATGGAAAAGCACAAATAATGATCGATCGTTTAGCTGCTATATTACATGTTTGTGCGCTGGCAGGAACAGCTTTGGGTAAGAATAGTCAGGCTAATATTTACATGTGTTTTTATTGGATATATTAATAGTGGGCCCAGAAGACGAGGTGGGGGGGGGGGGGGGGTTGGTGAGGGTGACCGATGTGGCTGGTAATACATTAAATTCTATAC